TGGTCTTACAAATTCAGTAATTAACCTGAATTTATTTTTATAAACACAAACTCACTCCCCTCATCCCTCTTTTTTTCCCTCTGATAACCACCATAGTTTTCACTGCGTAGGAGCCTTAGAATAGAATTTATAGTATAATATAGCCTTATAGTATGACGTAGGAGCCTTAGAGTGTAGTTTTCATTGTAGAAGCCTTATAATAGAGTTTATAATACAGTATAGTATAGCCTTACAGTATAGCATAGGGCCTAGAGCATAGTTCTCATTAGGAGCCTTAGAGTAGAGTTTGATAGTATAGGATCGCCTTACCGTATGGCATTATAGTTTTCACTGTAGGAGCCTTCTAGAGTCTTACAGCTCTTTGATTGTATCTTGTCTTTCACTGAGATTTCAAGCCCCAGTCTTTGAGAAAGGTTTGTGACTAACATATTCTCTGAGTCTAAATCTCTTTAACAGACTTGTAGTACTCTTGGTTAAACATTTTATTGCGTGGGAATAACCCGAGTATCATCTAAGCTGTGTGATCTGGTAAGTAGCAAGGTTGGGCTGAAATATGAGGATTATATAGAAACCTTCAAAATTACGAGGGAATTTGTAACACCACTGAAATGCGTTCTTAAGCTATTTTTCAATCTTCATGTTTAAAATTTTTAATTTTCGTATTGCTTCAGAAATCATGGCATCTGTGTTTCATTATTAAATTAATCCTATTGCAGTTAGGTCGGAAGGTTATGTTTTAAAAGATCCTAAAACAGATGCACCCAGAGCACTGTACTGGCTGACATCATCTCCTAGTGGGAAGCTATTCATTGCACTTATGCAAATTCTGTGATTCTTACACTCGCCTTTTTTCCATTCCATAGAAGCACCTTTGTGCTCTTGACACTGAGCACAAGCTATAATAGTGTTCATTGAGTCCAAATCTTTGTGAGAGCAAAGAAATCCTTTGAGTTTTCTGATATGTGAAGTTTTCATCATTTTTGGACATTTAGTAAGTATACTTTCTAACCAGTGCTTTAAAAGGAAGAGAGTCCCTTGATTTAGATTTGGTAGAATATGCTCAATATAATTTTCAAGCGTCTGTTGAAATGGATACTGGTTTTATGTCTAACATGATTACACAGAAATGTAGGTTAGTTCAACCTATAAACCTCAAGAGCATAAGTACAGACACATTTTCAGTTTGCAACACAACAGTAGACATTCTTGTTCAGTTGGTTTGAGAAAATCATTTTTATTTTGTACAAGGTATGATCTCTACACAGTGAACAAATATATTACAAATCTGGGTTTAAAAAAGTATTGCCATTTCATAGTCTCATGCTACTGTATAGGAGTGGTATTCGATTATTTGAGTTGTATGCATATCAGTTTGAGTGAAAACTTAGTTTCGGAAAATAATTTGAACAGCTTTTTCCAAGTTGCCAGTACAGTGCACTGTGGACATAAATCATTTAGGTTGGCCAGTTGTTACTAGTTGCTCTGTACATGGAAATGTCGTTTACCAATAATATTATAACTCCTAAGACACATGGAGGCCACAGTTGTCCTCCTGGATGGTAACCCCCTCTGCCTGTCCCTTCTCTTTAATGGCCTGGTTTGAGCTGTTACTACAATTCTTTGTGAATCATGAGATGACAGAGCTAAAGCTCCCTTACTTCCTTTTGCTTTGTTTTTCATACGTTGTGGGGGACGGGGGACGGTGGGGGCAAGGAGTATGAAGGTGGGAGACCAGAGAGAGTTAAGTTACACTCAGGTCTCTTGACCCAGTGCTTGAGCAAAGCCACCTCCTGCTGAATTGAGTATCTTTGCCCGGAAGATAGTTGGCAGAATGGAGGTGAAACGTGAGAGGCCCTGCTTGCTTGCAGTCTGCCAGGTAGCGGTTTCTGCACATACGGTGTCAAGTTAGCGGTCAGCCCCGACTGGAGATGGACTTCCTCCTCCTGGGTGATCTACTTCGCTTTCTTGACCCTCACTTCTCAAGGATGAATGAGCACTTGCTGCCCTGGAAACTGAGGTAAGTGTATCCCCTGTAATATTTTTTCCCTACACGCTTATAAGAAATATTTACTTGGGTTTACAAGGTAATTTCCTAGCATTCCTATTTTAATAAAGCTTTTTTTTTAAATTAAAGTAAAATTGCTCTTCATGATCACTTGCTCCCATGCACACATGCAGCATTCATATATTTTTCCCTAACAATGAAATCTGCTTAAGTCTCAGTGAAGTCAGGGAGGGAGGAATTACTCCATTTTCTTGATTTGTTGGTGGTGATTATTACCCTGATAATCAGCGGGCTCCATGGCAGACTTCCAATTTCTATTAAGGGCTTCAGAACTGACACTTTCTGGAGCAGCTGTTATAGCTTCCCAGTCATTCAGTTCCCCTTTTGTATACCTATTTGAGAGTATTTTTAAAAGTTTGCTGTTTGGAGGCTATTTGGTGATATATGGGGGCTACTCCCACCTCTGTGCTCTGAGGTCATTCTCGGTGGTGCTCATTTGGTGCTCAGGGATTGAATTGGCTTTTGCCACATGCATGCCAAGCAAGTAAGTGCCTTAAGCCCTGCACTCTCTCTTGACCCCAAAATATTTTTTCACTGACCAGATAGTATAGAGTGGTATAGAGTGGCTATTCATACCTTGGTTTGCCCTTTCATCTTTAATTCTTGGGAAGAGTTGTAAAATTCTTTACAACTTGTGAAGACCAAACAAAATTGGCTTCATTTGGACTCTTTGGGGCCGGGGTTTACAAACTCTGTTGTTCACTAGTGACAACATATGAATAACATAGGATCACATATGAACTCTGACACCTGGAGCAGCAGCTTGTCATGATAAGTTTTGGCCATTTAGGTGGTGATTTTAAGATAGAAGGTAATCCATACTTTTTGCATACAGTTGACTATGTTTTCACATCATTTGTTGCAGCTGATTATAGTCCGTTATTTGATGATTCTGCTTCATTTAAAAAAATACTGTACAATAAGCAACTTTTATCTAATTTCCTCTTTTAGGTTACATATTATATCAGGCTCAAGATTTATGAGGAATTTATTGAAAGCAAGTGCTTCTCTGGACCAAGGAATACAATCAAACAGCCACTTTAGAAATATGGGTTCATTTCTCTTCCTTCCTTCCTTCCTTCCTTCCTTCCTTCCTTCCTTCCTTCCTTCCTTCCTTTCCTCCCCCTCTCCCTCCCTCCCTTACTTCCTTCCTTCTTTCCTTCCTTGTGTTGTTTTTGGGTCACACCCAGAGAAGCTCAGGGGTTACTCCTGGCCCTGCACTCACGGTTCACTCCTGACAGTACTTGGGGGATTATATGGAATGCTGGGAATTGAACCTGGGTTGGCAGTCCAGGAGCATTGAATTCTTACCTGCTTAGGTCTGCTTGTACCATCTCCCAGTTGTATTTCACATGATGTTGAAGGGTCTAAGATAGGAGAAGGCCAGCACTGACTTGTAATATTCTTGAACTTCTCATTATCAAGATTTGGTAAAGTGGCTTGAGAATCTTTGTGGACTGAAGGAAGCTGATGAACTTTGGAAAGTGTGTGTGTGTGTGTGTGTGTGTGTGTGTGTGTGTGTGTGTGTGTTTGCGTGTGTGTGTGTGTGTGTGTGCACGCACATGCACGCTCATGCCTACTACCACTCGGGGCAGAAGAGGTAAAGTTAATTTGTCTTTTTCAATCTTTTTAAAAATTGAACTTGAGCTGCATTAGACTCTATACTAAACTCTGAGGTCTTGGCCATTGACATGTGATGGATAGACATACATGTACAAGTAGTTTAGAATTCATAATAGCAGGTTTGTGTCTGTGTGATAGTTGTCCTAGGCAGTAAAGCAGATGCTGATGGGAAGAGCAACCAAAAGTACATAGGCATTTCAGATGTGTAAAGTCATCCTCTCCCCTCCCCCTTCCCCTAGGGTAGTTTAAGATCTACATGCTTCGGAAGCATCATGTTTCAGATAATGAAATAGATAGATATACTTAACTCTAGCTGATGTTAATGAATAGCTAAGTTGTAAATGTTTTGTAAAAGTCACATAATCCAGGGCATTTGGGGCTGGAAGGGGGGGCGGGGTTTCAGAGCCTTTGTGAGCAGACATCTGAACAGTCCGGTGGCCCCAGCCCCCTGGATGCCCTTCCAGAGTCCCAGGCGCAGTCACGAACACGCAGCGGTAGGCGGTCTGGATCTTCAGGTCTAGGGCTCATCTTCCTTCAGAGTCAAATACTCGGCGGGGCACATTGCAATAGAGGATCGTCTGTCTTGTCCGGGGAAGGCCCGTGGGCGGGGCTCTGTCTTACAGGGAGCAGGTCATAGTGACCGGGAACATGGCTGTTCCTGGGTAGGTCGTATGGATTCTGGATGTGACTGGCAGTAGGGCCGCAGCCGTCTCGGACCACACTGACTGTGGGCTCTGAGGAACACAGTGAGAAATGAGTGCAGAGAACAGATTAGCTTCCTTTGCCTCATGGTGGGGAAGAGAGTTCTGCTCCGCTCCATGGGGGAGAGTAGCCAGCATTTAGAGATGGGAGGAGCGTAGGAGGGGTCGCCTGAGCTGGCTGACTCAGAAGAGGGGAGATTCAAGTGAGTGAATGTCAGAACCCCAAACTCTTGTCAAACCAAGAAATCTGGACTATCTCGGGGGACAGGGACATTGGTTAAACTGGAAGAAGATAGAAGAAAGTGGTTTAGAGAGTTAGTCATCTAGGGGCGGGGGGTGGGGGAAGAGGAGAAAGTTTAGAAACAATCAGCAGGGAGGCAGGGAGGGTGTGTGTGTGTGTGTGTGTGTGTGTGTGTGTGTGTGTGTGTGTGTGTGTGTTCTCTGCTTGCTACCCCTAGGGTTTCTGCTTGGTTTCAGTCCTGCTGTTGTCTTTAAGGCAGAATTGTCCTATGAGTGCTTCCCTGTGTGAGGGAGGAGGGGGATCGGGTTTCTTGGATTCTGTCTGCAACAAGAGAAGGGTGTGTTCCTTCCCAGAGGTGCTGCGCTAGGACTTACTGGAGACACCTACCAATTTCATATATATTTTTATTGGCTGGCGACAAGGACGGCACATCTGTGTATGGCGGCCCCACGTGCACAGGTGATCTCATCTCGACGTAGCTGCTTTCGGGAAGCTTGCAGGTGACACCAGGAGGGTCCTTAATTGTAGCGTAAGGGTTTTCACTGCTGTTCAAGGAACCAGTGCTAGAACTGCATGAGGATTCTTTCATGTAATCTGCAAGGCAAGAGAGAACTCTTAGGGAAAGCGACAAGGAACTAGACTTCATTGAAAATACCAGACCAAACTGTGATTGTTCATGTGCATTTCAGGATTCTTGAAACATAAAAACCTACAGGAATCCAAGATTTACTTGGATTTACTAAAGGTGTGGAGTGCTTTCCTAGGCAGAATCTTCTTATCAAGAAAGATGCTTTCAGGCACCAGAGCCATAGTCCAACAGATTGGGCATTTGCCTTGCACATAGTTGACCTGAGTTTCATCTCCAGCATCCCATATGGTCCCCTGAGCACCGCCAGTAGTGACTCCTGAGTGTAGTGCTAGGTGTGACCCAAACACCAAATGTTTTCAGAGGGATAGAATTTTTTTTTTTAGTAATGGAGTATGGCCAAACAGTAATCCAAGGTATTTATTACGCATTTTTCACATCTAGTATTTCACTTTTACAAAATCCTGTGAGGAGAGAGGACAGTTTACAAGGATGAGGTCTCAGAGAGATGAAGTGACTTGGTTCACGTTACATAGCTGAGCAGATTTGAGTCCTGCAGCCCAGAGGCAGTCCTGAGATGTGCCCTCTCTGTTCCTCCTGGTAACTCAGAGGAGGAGGCAGTAGGTTTGGACACAGATGTGAGCAGTGAGGAGACGTTAGGCCACAAGTGTGTGCACTGACCTTGGTCTGGAGATGCTGCTGATCAGAGGGGCCCAGGGGGAGTGAGAAGCACCACAGGCCCCAGCCTGAACTGGATCTTCCACCTCCCCACCTCGTTCTTGTCAGTGCTAACTGAAACCTATTGGTTTGTGTGTGTTGGGAAGGAGCAGCGTTTGCATCCATCAAGTGGTGTTTCATAACCACACCTGGCTAACTGGTTATGAGATCATCTGGTTTCAGAACTTGAACTCAGGGTTTCACACATGCAAAGCAAGTGTTAAGCCATTGAGCTTCACCCCCAATCCCCAAAACCCGTTTCAGCATCTTTTTCTGTCTGATAACCGCAAAAACTTTCACTTTCCTCTCAGGTTTGTCTTGTTTTTGGAAGCCAGAGTCACCAACTGTGCTGAGGGGTAACTCCTGGCTGAGCTGGGGACTGAGCCTGGCGAGGCTGTGGGCAAGGCAAGCACCTAAATCCTGATGCTTTTTTTTTTTTAACTGCCTGGCAGGTTTCTGATTCACAGGACTGCCTCAGCATACATCAGGGTGCGAAAGGATGCAGGCTGGATTCCGTGGTGCTGGGGCAGGAAGCTTCTCTGAGCAGGAGTCACTGGAGTACAGGGAGGCTCCTTTTCCTCTCCTTCCTTTTGGGGAAGAGCCTTGTTCTTGCTACTGGGCCCCGATGCCCCAAGCTGTGCCTGCCTGGGAGGGCAGGAGAATTGTCTGTTGGCAGTTTTGACCCTTGTTCTGGGAGGTCCTTACTCAGGATCTCCAAATAAGCATCTAGGGGCAGAGGCTTGAGAGACAGGCGTGATCTAAGATACCTCTTGGCTCCAGATTTCATTAAGTGATGGAGATGCTCAGGGCTTAATCCAGGGCTCTTAACTCAGGAATTAACTCCTGGTGGGGTGCCAGGGATTGAATCCAGGTCGACTGTGTGCAAGGCAATTGCCCTATCCGCTGTACTATCACTGTGGCACAAGTTTACGAGATTCTTGGATGATCTTTCTTTCACCTATTTATTTATTTATTTTTGGGTGCTCAGGGCTTGTTCCTGGCTCTGCTCTCGGGGATCACTCTTGGCAGGATTGGGGGAACACAGGGTGCCTGGGACCAAGCCCAGGTCAGCTGCATGTAAGGCCAGTGCCCTTCCTGCTGTACCATCCAGTCTATTGATCTTTCACCAGAACCACCAGAAATGACATTGGGGGGGGGGGGGGGCCTGCATTTATGTTTTTTTGTTTTTTTTTTTCCTTTTGTATTACTGTTTTCCCTTTTCAACATGCAAGATTAAGGAGAGAGAATAAAGGGATAGTGGGACACAGACAAACCTGTTTGCCCTGCAGCACCCTTGGACCCTGCATCACTGAGAGATGTGGCCCAGGAGCCCCCCAAGCCCCGTACTGCATCCTCACTGGGAACTGCCAGCCCAGGTGGGCTGGGAATTAACTGGGAGGGGGACATGGCCTCCCCAGGCCTGAAATAAAAGCAGTGACAGGACTGGAAGTCAGGGGTGACTGGTGGCGCCAGGAGCATTCCCGTGGCTGAGATGTGCTTCGAGGAGCCCCTACACACAGACCCGTTCCTGCTTCTAGAGCAGCAGACTGAGCAGGCGGGCAGCGAGGGTCTTCGCAGGGCACCGGGCAGCCTTGGAGCGCTTTCCTTAGAGCAGTTTCCGTCACATCTTAGCCCACAGGAAAAGGGGGCTCAGCTGTGGCCTCTCTGAGACAGACTTCTGCCAAGGGCCCCTGCAGAGTGGGGGCAGCGAGACGGCATTGGACAGCAGCAGGGCCTGCCCGCTCTGTGCTCCTGCGCAGTACTGGGAGTGACCACAGCGCTTACACCTCAGTCCCAGGGAGACGGTGACCTGGAGGCTGCCCGAGTCCCCATCAGTGCCTGTCTGGCCCGACTCCTACTCCCCGGCTTCTGTTCTGGCCCTTAGTGTGCACGCTCTCTGCAGGAATCGCCCTCACCCCGCCAGAAATCCCATTTCTCCTGCCGGTCAAGCCCCGGAGAGACGGAAGGTGGCGGTCCTGGCAGTGGTGATGGTGCTCAGGCGCTCGGGCAGCAGTTCAGCCAGAGCCTGAAGCCTCAGGCTGCAGTCCCCAGCTCCCTGCACAGGCCCCTCTGACCTGGTTCCCTTCCTGTGCCCACCTCCCCCCTTCCATGTTGACCCCCAGCCTCATGCGTGGCTCCAATCTGTGACTCCAATATCGTGACCTTTCGCATAGGTCCTCTCTTTTTTTTTTTTTTTTCTATTTGGAGTCACACCCAGCGACACTCAGGGGTTACTCTTGGCTCTGCACTCAGCAATTACTCTGCACTCGGGACCATATGGGATGCTGGGGATGGAACCCGGTCAGCCGTGTGCAAGACAAACACCCTACCCGCTGTACTATCATTTCGATGTAGGGCCGCCTTAGGTATCCCGGGCCTCCCGTTGGGAAACTGCCCTTCATCAGTCCTTCTCATTTCCATCATGGGGAGGAGGAGGGAGTCCTGGCTGCTTTCTGGTGTGGGGAACAGACTGACTGTACAGTAGAGGCTGCACCGAAGTTGACAAGAGAAGCTAGGGAGATGCTTTCTATACAGGGGCCATTGGCAGAGCGGGGAGGAAGGGCGAGGGCTGGTGGTGGTATTGCATGATGCAGTAAGTTGGATCCTGTTTCTGCTGGACGCTTGAGGCTGGGGACAGCCTGGCAGGTCGGCTGCTCAGGCTGCTGCTGAGTCATCCACCTACCTGCGGGACTGACTTCCTCCACTTAGAGAACCTGCCCTGCCCCGAGGCCAGCCTGTGAACTTTGCAGGGAAAGGAGGAAACTTCAACCTTGGCCACCCAAGCTGTGGGGCGTCACTTCCCCAGGGCCTGTAATTAGCATCAGCACCCAAGGTCTAGCCCTGTTATTCCCTGACCTTTGCTCTCATCTAGTTCCTGCTCATTCCTGCGCCCCAAATCAGTAGCATCAGGGCGGGCGGATGCCCTCCTCGGTAGGAAGCCCCAGTAGAAGGGGCACGGGCTCCCGCCACTGTGAGACCTGAACTGACTTGGCTTCGTTCTATGACTAAGACTGGCCGTCCACCCCGCAGCCCATGGCTGTCACTGAAAGGCCGCAGACTTTTCTCTTCCTGGGCACCCTTCCCCCCTCCCCCCCCCTCCCCCTCCCAAGCTGGCTTCTTTTTAACTGCAGTACAAAGAAACGGGGCCAGGACAGGGGAGATCTCAGGGTCAGGAGAACCAGCCAGGCTGAAAACAATTCTCAGGAAATCAGTGGCTCCTGGGACCCTGGGAAGCAGCCAGGAGAGATTTGGGGGCTGAGGGCATGGAGCAGACAGGGAAGGGAAGGGAGGGGAGCACCTTGGAGGACGCTGGAAGTGAGACAGTTTCGCTGTGGTGCTGGGGAAGTTCAGAGGTCAGGCTGGATGAGCAGTGGGGGTGGTCTGCTACCAGTTCCAGGAAGGCCTCAGGGAGGCAGAGAGGTAGACCCAGGCTGGGCACTTGCCCCAGGAGTGATCCCTGAAGGAGAGCCAGAAGCAAGCCCTGAGCACCACCTCAAATCCGTGTTTCCCAAAGAGGACAGGAGGGTAGTCCCAAACTCTGTGTGTGTGTGTGTGTGTGTGTGTGTGTGTGTGTGTGGTGTGTGTGTGTGTTTGTGTTTGTCCATTCCCAAACTGTGTGTGTGGGTAGTCCCAAACTGTGTGTGTGTGGTGGGGAGGGGGGGGTCCCAAAGTCTGTGTGTGTGTGTGTGTGTGTGTGTGTGTGTGTGTGTGTGTATGTGTGTGTGTTGGGGGGAGAGGCTTTCTGTTTGCCTAAGGGACATAAATCTTCAGGGTAGTGCTGAACAATTCTCCCTCTCCCCCACTACCCCCCTTCCCCCAAAAGCAGAGCAGTGGGCAGTTAAAACCTCTGTTTCAGATGGTCTAGGCTGGTGACAAGCCCCCTCCCTGCAGCACAGTGTCTCCAGCCCCAAGGCCCTAGAGAATGTGCTGACACAAACCTGCCCTTCAGACAGAAGATGAAGCCAAGAACCAGAAAGAAGACTGGCCTGCGCAGACAGCGCCCTGCGGAGGGCGGTTCGGAACTCAGGCCTCTGATCTCGGGCTGGACTCCCTCCCACCACGTTCAGAAGACCCTAAGGTTAAGGCTAAGCTGTGCCGTGCCTTTAGGCCACAGAATTTAGAAGTCATTTCATTCCTGGCACAAACTCATTTATTATTTATTTGGAAATCAGCCAGTTAGTGCTGTTTATCCCACTCTTTGATAACTGAGGAACAAGGAAATAGGGCCAGAACAGGGAAATCTTGGGGCCTGCAGCTCCAGCCAGGCTGAAAGAAGTTCTCGGGACTTCAGTGGCTCCTGGGGCCCAAGGTAACAGCCAGGAGAGACTTGGGGCTGGGAATGGGCGGTGGGAAGCCAAGGTGATGCAAAGCTCTATTTGTGCTTTGTTTGAGGAGGGGGGCACACCTGAGAGAGCTCAGTGATCACATGTGAGTCTGCCACGTGCAAAGCCAGTGCCTTAACCCGTGTGCCTCTCTCAGTCACGGTCCCAACTGACATTCCTTCCTCCTCTTCGGACTGCCCTGTTGGGAGTGTTGGTCCCCAGCACCTGCTGACCCCTTTCCATCTCTAATTAAGAGGATGATTATAACTCCGGTTGGTGAGACAAGCCCTGGCCACTCCCTGTCTTAACCTCAGTTCTGAGATCCCACAGGACAGGAGTGAATGGCACCGAGGCAGACACGCCTTAGCTCTGTTTTACATGGACGGTCATGGGTTCCGGAAGTGACTCTCCCAGCTAGAGAACAAAGCTCCTCGGAAAGTCGTGTGCTGATTTATGGAGGTTTCTGCACCCGCCTCGGCTTGTTTACGCCTGAGTCATGCACATTGTTGGAGGGGGAAGTGCCCTCAAGAGAGCTTCCTAACCTGCCCCCATGCAGTTTTGCACAGGAAACCGAGGCTCCAGGTCACAGACCCAACAGGAGAGCTGTCTTGGGTCGGAGCCTCGCCGTGCTTGCCTGTGGATGCTTTAAAAACACAGGGATGGGATTTGCTTCCACACAGCAGACACAGGTTCAATCCTTGGCATCCTGCCAGAGTGATGCCCCTCAGGGAATGCCTATTGCTGGGAATAGACTTCTCCTCTCACATCTTCCTGCTGGGACAACTGTGTTAATGGGGCTGTACCCTGCTCTCGCTCAGAGCACAATACACAACTCACCACCGAGCTTGCTCACCTGCTTCTAAGGACAACACTGCCAAGAGCTGCTGGTGACCACCCCCCTAACCCCCACCTCTCACTTCTCTTTGCAAACAGCTGTATCCCAGCTTCAGGGGATGCAGTGACCAGAACAGTAATCCAGGAAACATGTGGTTTCTAAGTGTGATTTGGTCGATCCCCAGATCCCTGGAACTCCTCAACACCTCTAGGCATTGGGGGCTCGGTCAGAGTTCTTTTATCAGCATCCTCAGGAGATGGACAGAACAGCTGGATTTTTTGTTTGGTTTTGGATTTGGGGGCCACATCCAGTGATGCTCAAGGCTTACTCCTGGCTCCCTGCTCTAGAGTAACTCCTGGCAGGGCTCAGGGAACTGCAGTGCCAGGGGTCAAACCTGGATTGGCTACATGCAAGGTCAGTGCCCTACCAGCTGTACTGTCAGTCCAGCCCCAGCCCAGCTGTGTGCTGTTTGTTTGTTCTTGGGTCCACTGGGCTGTGATCAGGTCTAACTACTCCTGGCTCTGTACTTGAGGATCAGTCCTGGTGGGTTCAGGACCAGACCCGGGTCAGCCACAGTGGAAGCAAGGCAAGCGCCTTAGCCACTGTCCGCGGGTCCTGGAAATAGCTCTCCCTGCTAGATAGCAAAGCTGTGTTTGTAAGGAGCTTTTCAGGTAGACTTCGGATTATCCACCAGGATCTTCGTTATCATTTCTATCTCTAAATTTGTCTGGGACTCTTGAATAAACATACCTCAGACTTCAGACCTCAGAGATCGTAGAAGTGCCTTGGTTGAGTAATGCAACAGGCCCAAACCTGCCCCAGCTGACGACCGGCAACTCAGTAGTGACCTTACTAGACCACAGGACAGGCATAATAACCCAGCCTGGCATAGACGGGGATTGGGCCGCGGTGAGCTCCCGGTTAATAAGTGACAGTTCCCATGACACCTCTCACCAGGTGTCCCAGCAACCCAGGTCGGGGCCAGGGGAGGGCCTGACCTTTCTTTGGCTTCAGCTTCAGACTTCCTCGACAGAGGCCCCACCTGGCAGTTCCCATGGGAGCCCCGACTCTGGGGGCGGGTGGGGTGGGGTGCAGGCTCCCTGGGGCAGGGGGTGTGGCCCAGTATTAACACTCGCCCCCACTCTGGTCCCAGCAAGTGCAGGTGGCGCTCCTCACAGTGCAACGACAGGAGGCCTCGGGGCAGGTAGATCGGCTTTATTTCAGACTTTAGAATCAATTTAGCTCAGACTAATTGGCTGGATAATGACGCTCTACATTTCCGAAGACATTTAGTTGACATCTATAAAAAACCCACAGGCAGTTTGCTAAGCAGGTGCAACTGAAACCGAAAGACGAATAAATCATTACTACAATGACTCCTCCCAGCCAGCGTTGCCAGCACCCCAGCCAGAGTCCTGTGCGTGGGCCTGTAACTTGGGGAGGGGGTGATGCCAGCCAGGAGTGGGGGAGATGAGGAATTCCTGCCAGCTGGATCCTCTACTCTTTGCTCTGGCTCAGCCCCGTGGCCGGGGGCCAGGCGTGGATACTCTACCTTTGAAGTCTTTGTCCATGACGTAGGTGTTCTGACGTCGATCCATTCCACAGGTGCCTGCATCAGAAAGGGGCGAGGAGAGGAGAGGTAGTGGTGAGTGGTGGTGAGAAAGGAGACACCCGCCAGGACAGCACAAATGTTCTTGCTTTGCTTTGCCTTTGGATTGTTCTGTTTCTCTTGCTTTCCTTTCTTTCCTGCCCTGGAAATAGCTCGGTTAGAGCTAGAAAATTGATTCGAGCTTAGTCTGTCTCAATCATTTTGACCGGATTGGAATTCTTTTATGTATTTACTTTTTAAGTTGGGTCACACCCACTGATGCTTAGCACTTCCTCCTGGCTCAGGACTCAGGGATCACTCCTGATAGGAATCAGGGGATGCCGGGGATCAAACCCAGGTTGGTCCTGTACAAGGCAAAAGCCCAACCTGCTGTACTATTGCTACCTTGGGAACTGACAAGACTGGTGAACCACAGTGCCCTGGTATAGTCTGCGCTTCTCCACTTGTGTCTTCACACTCATGAGGGGAACGTCTTTCTGGAACCACTCACTGGAGGTGAAGTTTCAGGTCCCCAAAGTATCAGGGAAAGGAATGAATCAGAACCAACTCAGCCGGCAGTTGGCTGCGTGACTCTCCAAATTCCAGTTCCGTTGGGTTTTAGAATGAGGGGAAATGGCTTTTCTGTCCTGGGTCTGCCGCTGGATTAAAAGAAGCCACTGGGGAGTGGTGGATGGCAGCTGAAGGTGTTCCCACATTTCTGCTCACGATTTACACATAATTGAATTGCTTAGAATTTTTTGAGGATTTCCTCCCTCTCTATCTTAGGGCTTATCCTAGATTCCCAATGGTCCTGAGCCCCAGATAGGGGTAGGACAGTTTTAGGAACCGTCTGTCCTCCCCCAGGGTCTGTTCTACTGATTCCAGAAATGATGAGGCCTCTTCAGGCTTTGGAGATTAAAGGGTCTGGCTCAGAATCTAAATTCCTTCTTTCACTTTTCAGACACATGCAGCTATTCTCTTGCTAGTTTTGGTTTGGGACCACACCCAGCAGTGCTTGGGGCTTACTCCTGTTCTGCACTCAGGCCTCACTCCTGGCGGTGCTCAGGACCATCTGTAACACTACAGGGACAGAGCCAGGATCGGCTGCCTGCAAGGCAAGCGCTGTCGCCGCTGCCTTACTCCCTAGCCATGGCACTGCTAAGGAAGGCATCCGCAGTGCTTGCTGGAGTCCCACGCTTTGCCAGAACCTGCCGGGCTGGTGTGGCTGCATTTCCCTGTGCTATAGGAGTGAGGAACCCTTCAGGAGCACGCAGGGCAGGATGGGAGCATGCTGCCTCCCCACACCTCAGCCCTGCACTGTTCATCAGCCAAGGGCTGCCTTACTAGATGGTTTCCCTTTACCCGCCCTAAGGGAGCCAGACAGAGAGGGGTCCAGAGAGGGGCAGAAACGGATCCCACCAGCACAAGAAGATGCAGCCCAGCCCAGATTCTCCCGCAGACCTGCCCAAGCGAGGCCGACATAGGATGGCAGGTGGCAGTTCCCCTTGCTGGCCTTCGACATCTCAGACTGAGCCCCCTACAGGCTCCTCTGCAGGATGGAGGAAGGTGAGGGGTTGTGTATGTGTGCAAGGAGCATTAGGGGGGGTTAGAACATCATCACGCCGCCAGACTGGAGGTGTCTGAGCTCTAGGAACGAGACAAAGCCTGCATGTAGGCCCAGGTGCTCCAGCTCACAAGGGCCCTGCCTCCTGTAGTAGCCATGGCCTTTGTCCACTGCACTTCCTCCTGTGTACCAATTTCTGTGGCAGCTCCCAGAGCTGGGCTGATGTGCCAATGCCCAGGCTTTCTGTCTTTCCCAAGCCACGAGGGTGAACACAAGGTGCTGTTCCGGACTCCCCACACCCCTTCCTCAACACCCATCCCGCACACCTGAGAGCTTGGCTGGGGACACTGGGGTGCCTTGGGTCTCTCTCTGGGGGTTACTGACATATTCACCGGAGGACCACTTTCTGCCACCCACACTCATGGGGCCCACAAGAACCCCCAGATCATTCCCAAGTCACTTCCCGGTGGTTTAGGATTGTGGTCGTGCCAGGTAGGGGTGGGGGTTGGGGAGGGGGATGATGCTCCTTTCCCTGAGACCCAAGACCCAGACCCCTTTGTCCACATCCACCTACGAAGCAGAAGGGGTGGTGGAGCAGGTCAGTGGGGGGCTTGTGAGCTGTTCCTGTCTGGAGGGAGGGGAGAGTCCCGGGACCCCAGGAAGGAGAAGTTTGAGGCAGGTGCTGGTCTGGTCTGGTCTGGTGTGTGACCCTCAGGGGCCCTGGGGGGAGGAGGCAGGGTTGGGGGTCTCTAACCTGGCGAGGGCTGCTCAGCAGGGCTGCTGAGGTGCCTAAGTTCAATGTAGAAGTCTTCGGGCGGGTACCTGGCCTCCAGGGCACTGATCTGGAAATGGGAATCTAGTGAGAGGAATGACAGGAGGAGCCATTATTCCCGGGGCCTGGCTGGGCAAGGGAGGGGACTGTGGGGCGGGGCCAGCACCCTCCTCTCCCACCCCCCCTCCTCCAAGGCAGGGCCCAAGGGAGAGGTGGGCCAGGTAGGGCCCCCTTCCCAGATGTGACCCACATTGAGTTCTCACATCTGGGCCCTGGGTAAGGACCTCCCTGTCCCTGGAGTCTAGGGCTCAGTTGCTCAGCACCCCTTTCCCCGAGGGGAACCAGGTTCCTATGAGCCCTTCTCCTGGGAGCTGGGACAGGGTCGGGGAAAGAGGTGGGCCATCCAGGAGGGGACAGGCCCCGGCCACTACTGACCTAACACGTTCACATAGCTGTAGGGGGTCCAGCCTGCTGTGTCTCTGTCAAGGGACTTGGTGCTGAGCTGTTTGGAGAACAGGAGAGCCGGTTAATCCCTGCTGGGTGCCCCAACCTCACCTCGCCCCCCCGCCCAGGGTGGAGGGGAGCTGCCCGCTAACATCCTCACCCTCACGGCCGGTGGGCAGGAAGAGTCTCTGAAACAGTGGCCCTCATCCCATACTGGGGTCTGGATGTCAGGAGATCATGTAAAATTTGACAACCAACAGTTAAAGGTTTCTGCACACAGTGACACCCCCAAATCCAAAATCAATGCATGATGAATCCAGGGTGTTTCTGAGTGCGTATGTGTGTGTGTGTGTGTGTGTTGGGGGGGGGCGGAGCTCGGGCCCCATCCGGTGGAGTTCAGGGCTGACTCCTGGCTCTGTACTCAGGGATCACTCCTGCTGAGGCTTGGAGGACCCTCTGGGGCCCTGGGTATTGAACCCGGATGCACCTGCAATACAATCTCTCCGACCCTGAGGTGTTTCTGGAAGCGCTGGCCTGTATCATATTTCTCCAGTGAAAAAAGGCCCTGGACGGGAAAGTTCAAGAAAGCCTGAGGGCCCACCACAGTGTGCTGAGGCCGGGGAGCAGAAGGTTCTCTCTGACTGATGCCGGCCAGGGGCTGTCAAGAGCTGGGAACTAGAGATGAGGTGCGGGAGGGAGGCTCAGCTGCAGTGGGACGGCAGTCCCCCATCACCCTTCCTGGGATTTAGGCTTTCCAGGGAGGGATCCTTAGGGTGCAAGCTCTGTCTTGGTGGTATTGTTTGGGGGCCATGTTTGCTGGCTGCATGCAAGGCACGCATCCTACATGCTGGCCTATCCTCCAGCTGGTGCAGTCTTTCTGAGATTTTTTGGGTTTTGGCCACACGAGTGTTTGTGGCTTACTCCTGGCTCTGTGCTCAGGAGTTTTCCCTGGTGGTGCTTGGGGGCCCATATGTGGTGCTGGGAATCGAACCTAGGTCAGCTGTGTGCAAGAAAAAACACCCTCCCCACTGTCCTATCTACCCAGCCCGGTGCAATCTTTCTGTTCCTGCATTTGCGCCCACTGTCTCTGCAGTCTCTGTCCTGATTTCACAGTAAGGACGGCCCATGGCACAGCAGGGCACACCCCGGCAGAGCTGGGTGTACAGCCCCTCGTGCTATGCAGGTCCTCACAGCATGCACCTCTGGTACACACGCCACCCTCACCCTCTGACACGGCCAGTCGTAGGGTCACTGAGGGTACTTCTCTGCATGAGGGATCCCTGGAGAACCAGGCCAGGGCTGATGTGGCTACAAGGGGCCACTGTCCCTGAGCTGTGACGTCTGTGGCTTCAGCTGATGCCCGGCCTCAGTCGGGGGACACTCAGATAAGCCCCAGTGGAGTAGGACTAAGAGCTTGGGCTGTGTGTGGGCCTGGCTCCCGAGAGCCCTCGGATCCTAGGGAAGTTGGGGGAGGGGGGGAATTGGCCCATGGAGAACACCGCCAGTCTACAGATCATGCCTGCGACACAGGGACATTAAAGCCCTGAACTGGGTCACACACGTAAGAACTTTGTTTTCACATAAGTTTCTCAATGATTTATGCTCATAACTGATTTGTTATACTTATTTTTATATACTTACAGACCTGAACTTGTGTAGCAATTTCTAAGGCAAAAAAAAGAGTTGCAGGTGGAAAAAGTTTAAGAAGCCCGGCTTTGTTGTTATTTTTGCTGGGGGGGGGGCCTCACCCAACAGTGCTCAGTCTACTCCCAGCTCAGTGCTCGGGGGACCATGTGGTGCAGTAAATTGAATGCAAAGCCTCAAATGTGCAAAGAAGTGCTTAACGACTGAGCCCCACACCCCTGGCCTGCAAAGGCCCTCTCTGAAGCCCCGGGGGTGGGCTGGGGGCCCATATCAAGCCAGCATGGCAAGGCAGAAAGAAAGGATTTGCAGGGGGCAAGAGCTAGAGAAGAAAGGTGGCTTTTGGTCACGTTCTTGCCCCGGCAGGGCTGTTACAACTACGAGCTCTGGGGGCAGCTCGCGTGGTAGCCTGCCAGACCCCAGGCTCCATGCTTGGCCTGCATTTTTGAATGTCCTACCCTGCATCCTGGTGCATGTGGGGAGTTCACTCCAGGCGGTCCCCAGCACCCCAGCCCAGCACTGCGTGGGGACATCTCTTCCATCCTGCCACACTCCCCGGCATGCTGTGTGCCCTTGCTAGGCCTCATGTCGGTGCTGATGGCTGCACACAGATCATGGGCTACGGCCAGATGCAGGCCCCCACAAGGCGGTCACCCTGACATCAGTGCAGTGACCCTTGCAGTTGACAGTAATGTGCTGTGGTTAGTGAGTGTTTTTTTTTTTTTTTTTTTTTGCGTCCACACCTGGCAATGCACAGGGGTTACTCCTGACTCTGCACCCAGGAGAATTACTCCTGGCGGTGCTCAGGGGACCATATGGAATAGCTGGGAATCGAACCCAGATCGACCTCGTGCAAGGCAAATGCCCTACCTGCCGTGCTATCACTCAAGCCCCCTAAATGTATCCCATTCTTTACCTTAAACCAAATAGTTTTCATTTTGTTTTGTTTGTTTTGTTTTACTTTTTGGTTCACACCTGGCTCATGCACTCAGAAATTACTCCTGGTGGTGCTCGGGGGACCATATGGGATGCTGGGAATCGAACCCAGGTTGACTATGTGCTACCACTCCAACAGTTAGTGTTTAAAAAGGGAGCAAATGACCACGTTCTTTTGGTTTGAGGGCCACACCCTGCAGTGCTCAGGGTTTCTTCCTGGCTCCTGTGCTCAGGGGTCAATCCTGAGCATCAGGGGACCAGCTAGTGTGAACTGGACTGGAACCCGGGTCGGCCACATCTGGGCTTTCCTCGCTGGACTTGATCTCGCACCCAGTGGCTACTCTGGTCCAGGTGGCTGTGTTGCAAGGCAGCTGGGGCTCACTGGATGCACACAGCGGGTGGGGGGCCGGGGAGGTGACTCAGCGGCAGTGCTCACAGCTCACATGCACGCGTCCCTGGGTTCCTGCACACCCTGGGCTGTTTTCACGCGATGCCCACAGGTGCCCTGTGCTATGCTGCCTGGAGCTGACCTGCTCCCCGGGTCACGGGGCTACTGGACCCCCATACTGGCACCTGATTCTCCAGCTGGGCCAGAGGAGGGGTCTGGCTCCTGCCTGGTGGGGATGAGGGCCGAGGGGGGGGTGGCGGTGGGGCGGGGGAGTCCGGGGCCCAGTACCTTGGTGGGGCTGTTCCTGTCCAGAGTGCCGGCCTGGCCGCTGGCAGGCCCCCCGCACGCCAGTGCGTGGTAGCTGGAATTGGACAGGCACTGGGCATGGCTGCTACTCTGAGACAAATCTGGGAAGAGAACAAGGCCCCACATGCCATCGTGAGCCTGAGATACCCCAATACTGACACGGTCTGGGCAGCCTTGAGAGGGCCTGCAGAGAAACCACACCCTGCCCCCCAGAACCCCCGAAGCTTCCCGGTACCCAGCACACTCAGGATGTCTCAGGAGCAAGGCCTGGACAGGTAAAGCCTGGGGGCCCCTCCTGGGGCTGTGCTGGTCCTTCTGTGCTCCCCCCAGGCCACAGAGAACCCCACCCCATTAGCACCCTCCTTCTTGCCTGCTCTGGGACCTCTCCATGGGCAGGACATTCCATGGGATGACCCAGCAAACCCAGATAGCTCTGCCCACTACAGTCAGAGGAAACACCAGGCAGTGCTCAGGACTGACTCCTAGCTCTGCACGCAGGGATCACCCTTCCTTTCCCCCTGCTTCTGGTTTTTGGACCATACCCGGCTGTGCTCGGGGCTTTCTTCCAGTTCTGCACTCAGGAATTACTCCTAACAGTGCTGGGGGAAGGGGAGGCAGGGGACCATATGGGATGCCAGGGATTGAACTCTGGTCGGCTGCGTGCCAGACAAGCATCCTGCCTGCTGTAGTGTCACTCTTGGTGGAGCCACGGGGACAATATGTGGTGCTGGGGCTCGAACCCAGGTCAGATGCATGTGAAGCAAACACTCTCCCTGTTGAACTCTCTCTCCAGTCCCAGACCCCAAGTTTTATCTGTGCCCAAAGGGTTTCAGCAGTTGGGCTCTCACCAGGGCGCAGACTCAGGACTACTCCCCGGAGGCTGCATCTGCTTCTAGCAGGGAGCTGGGGCATCACCACCGGGGGTAGGGGAGGGGTGGGGGGTGCCCAAGAGGATCCAACGAAGATGCAGGAGGCCAAGGTAGCTGCTTACCCACCTAAGCCCTCCTCCCTGCAGCCCCAGGCCCATGGGCAAACTCTGCCCATCTGTAACCTCGTGGGTGGAAGGGAAGTGAAACTTTCTCACCTCTCAGGGAGGGACCCAGGCTCAGTGGAGATGCTCCCACCCTCACTGCATTCAGTCCCACAGAGGGGGCGGGGAGGGAGCTTGCAGTGCAACAGAGCTACCCCCTCTTGTTGCATTCACCCTGGGACCAGAGGGTGGGATGCCCCAAAACTCTTGGCGAGGAAGCAAGTCCCCAGCACACAGGAGCACCGGCCAAAAGTGAAATCCCAGTGAGAAGCAAAAGGCTGGACACGGGCCCACCCCAGAGCCACCCCCCCCAGCCCCCGCCCTCATTCTCTGCCCCCGCCAGCCCGAAAGCGGGGTCCTGGGGCTCACCAGAGAGTGAGTAGTCGGTGCTGGTCATCCTCAGGGCGGGTGTGTAGGACACGCGTGGGGCCAGGTCCCGGGCCTTTTGATGGTGTCGCCGCCGCCGCCAGGCGAAGAGCCCGAGCAGCACGGCCAGGAGGGTCAGCAGGAGGATGATGCCTGTGGCTGCACCCACCGAGTGCCGCCCGGACCCCCGCGCGGGGCTGATCTTGGTGTAGGGGTTCAGCTCCTCCATCATGAGGGCGGCTGTGGGCAGACGAGAAGCCTGAGCCCACAGGCTCACAGCTCCTTAGCCCTGCTCTGTGTGCAACCGCGCCCAGCTCACTCCCAACCCATCCCACCTCCAGCCCCAGGCTGGCCTAACGGGTGGGGAGCTCAGGGTGGTGGCTGAGGCAGATCTCCATCAGGCAGGAAGCACCCGCCGTGTCCTGGTGCTCTTGCCACTGTCCCAGGACCCTGTGCAGAGTGGCACCTTGGTCTTCCCCACCCTGAGATATGGGACCCTTATCTCTTCCCATGGCCACGACAGTGGGCGTTGCAGACTCGCTCTCTCTCCCTGTATACTGCTTTTGGGGAGCTGTGGGCAGCAGCTGGCAGGTGGCCTGAGAAACCTCAGTGCTGTTGGACGTGCTGCCCACAGACCTCCCTCGTGACAGCCTTCATGTGGCTAAGACCTGGCACACGGACGCCCACTCCGGGTGTCCTGGAGGTGCAGCAGGCACTGGCCACGCAGCACCCAGCCCCTGCCACCCCACTGAAGTCAGCATGGCACCGTTCAGGTCTGCCACCAACAGTCAGGTGAAAGGGCAATGCTCTTCTGGGGTCCCAGCGATTCTCATGGCTTACTCCTGACGCTTGTGCTCTGGGAGATCGCTCCTGGCGAGTTCAGTGTTATGCCAGGGATCAAACCCTGGTCCGCCCCGTGCAAGGCAGGTGCCCGACCCTCTGCACTATCACTCCAGTAGGGGGCGATGCGTTTCACCTGTTTCTTATAATATGGGGTAACTGAGGGCTGGTCCATGCCGACCCCCTACCCCAGCTCCTATGACCCCAAACCACACACAAAGTGGCCACACCCTGTGATCTAGCCCCAGCCTCATCTTGCCTTGGTCCTCCCTGCCCTGTTGCAGGAGTCCCTGCAACTCCAAAGCCAGGATTGAGCAGGGTTCCCCTGGGGCTGCTGGACACTCCACAGGACTGGGGGCCCGGGTGGGGGACAAGAGTTCATCTCTGCCTCCGCTGTCCACGCGGAGTGCCGGCCAGGCGCCAGCGAGGTCCCGTTACCTTGGTCACACCTGATCCCCTTGAAGCCGGCGCTGCAGTAGCAGGTGCCCGTGACGTGGTCGCACGTGGCGTTGTTCATGCACTCGCACAGCTGCTGGCAGCCGTATCCGAAGGTCCCGGGGGCGCATCCTGCGAGGGGGGTGAGACAAGCTGGGCGTCGGGGGGAGGGGGCAAGCCCGCTTTCCCCGGGGCCCCCAGGGGAGGGGCGAGGCGGGCCGGCGCTTACTGTGCTCACAGTGCGGCCCCGTGAAGCCCGTTCGGCAGGAGCACTGGCCGCTGATGTGGTCGCAGCTGGCGCCGTTCTGGCACTGGCACAGGCGCGCGCAGTCCTTCCCGTAGAAGGCGGCCGGGCAGCCTGCAGGAACCGGGTCGCTGCCAGCCCGGCCCGACCTGGCCCGGCAGGACCGGACCCCGCCCCAGTCCCAGCCCGCCCCGCCGCCCTGCCGTGCCCGCCGCCGCCGGCAGGGGGCAGCGCCACCCCGGCGCCGAGTCCCGCCCGCTTACGCTGAGCGCAGAAGAGGCCGGTCCAGCCCGGGCCGCAGCGGCACGCGCCGTCCTCCGCGCTGCAGGTCGCACCGTGCTGGCAGCCGCACGTGTGGAAGCACGCGGGGCCCCAGAAGCCCGGGGGGCAGGCTGGGGGCGGGGGAAAAGGAGGGGGAGGAAGGGGCCGCAGGTCAGAGACACATATAGTGCTGATGGGACACCCGGGGTCTCCGAGAATCCAGAGTCCCCTCCCAGCTCTGCACCTGGTCCCCCAGACTGGCCCGCTTGGACCGGGGCGCGGGGTGAGCAAGCGCTGAGACTGTGCTGAGTGCCCAGGAGGGGCCCTTCCTCCTTTGGGCTCCTATGTCCTGTAGCACTGTCCCCCTGGCCACCAGCTAGTGGAGACCCCTTGGGATCACCCACCAGCCTGGAAGTCCCGGAGACTGGCGGTAGCCGTCAGCTCCGCACCAGACTTGGTGCAGCTTCTGCGAATAGTGCAGACCATCCTTCACCCCCATCCCCCACTAGAGGTTCCCTGCACACGTGCTGAGGACCTGGAGCATGGATTTATTTTATTTTATTTGGTTTGGGACCACACCTCGCGGTCCTCAGGAGTTGCTCCCGGCTCTGTGCTCAGGAATTACCCCTGGAGGTGCTTGGGTTGCTAGGGCTCAAACCCGGGTCAGTCACATGTAAGGCAAGTTCCCTACTTTGATATTGTTCCAGTCCTCCCCCTCTTATTTTAGATTCTCGTATTGCCAGGGCCTCCCAGGGCTAGCACCCCCAGACCATGCTGTTCCCCATGCCAGGGTGGAAGGATTCCCGAGCGCTGACTGGGACGCAGACTGCATTGTACCCTGCAGGGGATCCCAGCCCGGGGTGGGACTCCCCCCCCCCCGGGGGGGGCAGCAGCTTACCCTGGGAGCAGTCCTTGCCCACCCATCCGGGGAAACACTGGCAGGAGCCATCAGCGGGGCTGCAGGTGCTGTTGTTGGCGCAGGAGCAGAGCTGGGCGCAGTCCTGCCCAAAGCGGCCGCTGGCGCACACTGCGGGCACAGGGAGCCTGGCACCATGTGCCTGTGCCCAGGTCACAGCCGGAGCCCCTGAGTGCTGGATCCAGGGACAGGGATGGGACCTGCAGGCCCCCCGCCCCCTCCTCCTGTGGTGTCTGTCCAGCCTCCCACAGCCTCCTCTCTGTGATTTCCCTGTGCCCCTGGGCCCAGCCTGCATCTCCTACACCTGTGGGATGGTTCCCTGCCTGCCTCCCTGCTTCCCGCAGAATTCCCTGTCCTGGGAAAGGCCACTTCCTCCCTCCACGGTTCCACGGAGTTAGCTGTGCGCCCTTCCACACTACCTCTGCCTTACAAGGAGGAACTCGGGGCAGGAGCGAGAGGGCAGTGGGGAGGGCACCGGTGTTGCACGTGGCTGACCCGAGTTGCATCCCCAGCACCCCGTAGGACCCACCAGGCCCCCCAGGAGTGATCCTTGAGCAGAGAGTTAGCCCCAAGCACTGCTGGGTATGGACTCCCCAAAACAAAACCCCCAAACAAACTAACACAGTTTTGAGTCTGGTGGACATTTAGGAAAGGTTTCAAGGGCTAAAATGGGCCTCAGAAGCCATGGCTTTGGGGGTCCTACTGGGCTCTGCCCCTCCTGGCATCCCCCTCAAGGCTGCATCCCCACTGCCCCCATCTTGGTTTTTTTTTAGTTGTTTTTTTGTTTGTTTTTTGCTTTTTGGGTCACACCCAGTCATGCTCTGGGGTTACTCCTGGCGAATGCACTCAGGAATTACTCCTGGCGGTAATTGGGGGAACATATAGGATGCCGGGTTGGCCGCTTGCAAAGCAAATGCCCTACCCGCTGTGCTATTGTTCTAGCCCCTGCCTCCATCTTGGGAGAAGCTGTTGGGAAGAACTTGGGGGTGCCTGGCTGGGGCGGGTGCAGCTTCTTGGGAGAAGCAGCCTCCACTCAGGGGCAGGCCCTCTCCCTCACACCCTGCGTGGCCCAGTGAGACTGGGCATCTGAGGTGGAGGGGTGGCCACTTCTCCCCACACAGGAGTGGGACAGGTCAAAATGGAAGCCGCCTGTCCCAAGTTCTTCTGACCAGGGTCCTGGTTTATTTATCCAACAAAAGATTATTCAGTTCAACAAAAGTCCTCACAAATCTCAGCTCAGCCCAGTGTGGGGACAGGGACTCCCCTTAGGAAGTGTAGGTGGAGAAACAAGAGAGGTTAAATCACTTGCCTAAAGTCACACCGATTAGAAGGGCGGCCACTATACAGGTCATCTCTCTTGGGCTCTCAGTTCCTTGTCTTTGGAATCAACATCTGATGACAGCCTGGTGCCCCTCAGGCCTCCTGCTGGGCTCAGAGCCCCTGGCAGGCTGGCAGCTGTGATCCTACGCTTCCTCAGCTCCTTCCAAGCAATGACCCTGTTTGCAGGTGGTCGCCTTATCACTTCCTGTCTCCCTCCTTCCTGTTTGTGGGAGGGACTTGACTTGGGAGACCCCTGGGGCCCCAGCCCAGTCCTCTGACCAGATATGCCTCTCTTGGAAACCTTCCTCCTCAGCGGGCAGCACCCCTCATGCGACCAGTTGACTTTGCGGACTTGAGAGCGAGGCGGCAGAGAAGCAAACACCGAGAAATATGCGGTCTAGGCGTAATGATCCTGCAGATGCTCTGCCTGTCATTTGTAACGCGCCGGAAAGCCGGGCATTAGAAAGTGTCAGCTCAATTTTTTACAAGGTTTGAGACTTAACCAGGGCAGTTGCCATTAATAGCAAACTCTATTAGATCTATATGCGGAAAATACTCATTAGGCCAGTGGGTGATAAATCAGAGGGCGGGCTGCTTTGGCGCTGGTCAGACCCCGCCTGCCGGTATTGACACCACATCTCCGATGTTTAATAAGCAAACCTCGGCGTGCCGGGGTATGACTAAGTTGTCCTAGGAGAACCGCGAGCAAATGAAACTGTCACGTATGTTTCCCGGGGGCCCAAACTTCTCCTGACCTCGAAGCATCGTGGAGTAAACTCTCCACTCATACATATTAACGGCCCAGACGCTTACAAAAATAGTCCAGCTCGGGGTGATTATTCATCAAAAGAATCGGCCCCCCGGGAGGCCGGCGTTCTCAGCAGAAGTATTTAAGCAGAGGCCAGAGGAGATCTCGCAGCGATGACCTTGACGTTGCCTGAGCTCTGAGTTTGCATCCTCTAAATTCCTCGCTCCTGAGGGGTGAGCGTACGGATTCTGCCTCCCACGGCCAGTGCTCTTCCCCAGGCCCGGGCCAACTTTTTGATTCCCCTCCGCTGACCCTCCCCACCACCCCCCACTGCCAAGCCTTTTCCTGGGCCCAGCACCCTTCCCTTCTCCCCTGCCTTTGAGCTTCACCCCTGCACAGCGTGGCACTGCCCCCCAAATCCACACTCCCATGGCCCAGCAAAGTCTGGGATAGTTACAGGACCTATGCCCATCTTTCAAAACTTTTTTTTCAATCTTTTGATTTTTTTTTTTTTTTGGCGTTTTGGGTCACACCTGGCAATGCAAAGGGGTTACTCCTGGCTCTGCACTCAGGAATTACTCTTGGCAGTGCGCAGGGGACCATATGGGATGCTGGGAATCGAACCAGGGGCAGCCACGTGCAAGGCAAACGCCCTAAACCACTGTGCTATTATTGCTCCAGCCCCAATCTTTCGATTTTTGAATCTCCCCACTGCCTAAGACCTCTGGTACCCAGCATCAGCCAGGGGGAGAATCAGGAATGAACCATGGGCTGTGTACCCCCCTCCCATCCACACTCACCGCCCCCCCCCGCTCCACTCTGAGAGCCAGTTTGGCTGCACCCAACACAGGGAAGGCCTGGTGACTCCCCCAGGAGTCAGAGGCTGGAGTGAGGGGTCTGGGGGTCCCACGGTTGGGGCAGAGGACAGTGAATTCCCCTGAGTGTGGGCTGGGAGGCCGTGAAGTTTTTGGCTCCCGTGGGCATCTCTGTCCTCAGCTCCCCAGCTGCCCTCTCTGCCTGTACTTGGAGGAGCTCCCGCAGGGCCTTCCCTCGATTGCACTCCGCCCATTTTCAGGGACTCAATGTCAAGTCATGAGATCAGGAACAGGCTGGAAATGGCTCTAGCCAGTGGCCAGCACCCTCACTGAGACCAGCTGGCCAGCCCCTTGGCGCACACCTCTTGGAATGGCGGGCCGTGAATTGTCCCCACGGTGGAGACTCTCCACTCCCTCTCTTCCCACTACCGCCCCCCAGGACGCTACCTTGGCTGCAGAGAGGTCCAGAGAAGCCTGGCAGACACTCACAGGCGCCGCTGACGTGGTGGCAGGGTCCACTGCTGTGCACGCACTGGGGGCACGGCTGGACACAGCCGTGGCCGTAGAACCCAGGGGGGCAGACTGCGGGGGGGAAGGGGTGGAGCTCAGCAGCCCCCAGGATGCAGGGGACAGGCACAGCCACCCGCTCGGGACCATCCCTCCCATTGGCAGAGACCCCAGCAGGGCCCTAACCGGGGACGGCAAAGACCGGGGACACGGCACGGGGCCGTGGGGGTGGCTGAGCCCCAGCCCCCCAGCCTTACTTCTCTGGCACAAGGGGCCCCAGAAGCCGGGGGCACACTCGCAGTGCCCATCCGCAGGGTCACAGGATCCTCCATTCTCACAGCTGCAGGTGGCCGAGCAGTTGAGGCCCCAGAGGCCAGGTGGACATGTGCTGTCACAGCGAATGCCTGTGGGCCAGGGGCAGATGTGGGTCCGTGTAAGAGAGGGGACAATGCCAGGGGAGGGGTGTGGGGGCGTGTGGGGGTAGGGTGGAAGGAGAAAGCATCGCAACTCTGGAAATGTGGAGCAAAGCCAGGCTGAGGTCGGTCAGTCACTGAGGCCTTCCCAGAAGAGGTGACACTCAAATTGGGACTTACAAGCCACAGAGAAATTGACCAGGGAAAGAGAAGCCCAGGTGCGGGCCAGAGCTATAGCACAGCAGGGTGAGTGCCTGCCTTGTATGAGGCTGACGTGGGCTCCATCCCCAATATTCTATATGGTCCCCACCACCAGGAGTGATTCTTTTTTTTTTTTTTTTTGGCTTTTTGGGTCATACCTGGCGATGCACAGGGGTTACTCCTGGCTCTGCTCTCAGAAATTACCCCTGACAGTGCTCAGGGAACCATATGGGATGCTGGGAATCGAACCCGGGTTGGCCGTGTGCAAGGCAAAACACCCTACCCGCTGTGCTATAGCTCCAACTCCAGGAGTGATTCCTGAGTGCAGAGCCAAGAGTAACCCCTGAGCACTGCCAGGTGTGACCCAAAACAAAACCAAAAGAGAGAGAGAGAGAGAGAGAGAGAGAGAGAGAGAGAGAGAGAGAGAGAGATTAAAGAAAACTCATGTTTAACTCAAAGAGCAGAGGCCAGGAGAATGGTCCCTTGGATAAAAATCTTTGTGGGGCCGAGACAGTGCAGGCCTGAGTCTGTTCCCGTGTGGCCTGGCTGGGCCCAGGAGTAGCACCACATGTCGAGCCCCGGCCATGCCACCAGGCTGAATATCTCTATGGACGACCCACCCCACCCCCAGCACTTCTGGGGCGGGCACCCACCTCCCTGCAAGCAAAGCATGGAGGAGCCAGGCTGGACCAGAAAGTACCAACTGGGGCAGTGCTTGGCGTGAGCTAGCAGGAGCTGAGGCCAGAAGCTTCTTTCCCCTGATGTTCCAGTCACACCCAGAGAAAGCATCAGGGCCAGCCCTAGGGCCCGGGAGCCAAGGTGCCCGCGGGAGATGGGCATCCTTTCCAGCGCTATTTCCTGTCCTCAGGGTGAGGGGCTGGTGCTGCCTTTGTGCTGCGACTGATTCCACTTTGTTTAGAAAGGAAAAGGGAGCTGCCACCTGGTCAGCTGCCGCAATGCCGCGCGGATGGACAGACAACAGTGAGGGACACGGGACTCCTCAGTAGGGTGCTCAAGGGGCAGGGGCTGAGTTCCCAGGGATGGGGCTCCACACTCCCTCCGACGGTCCCTGCCGTGGAGACCCAATGAGACACAGCTGAACCAGGGTTGGGGTGCTCTGAAGCTCAGAGTTGGGGTCACCCTCCTGTGCGTCAGCAGCAGTGCTATTGGATCCCCCAGGTATTGGGGGCAGGGACTGCGGATCCCGGAGACAGCAGCAGGCTGGGGTGTGTGAGTGTGAGTGTATGTGTTTAACTCTGTGAATGTGTGTGAGTGTATGTGTGTGTGTGAGTCTGCAAGTATATGTAAATGTGTGATGTGTGTATTGTGTGAGAGTGTGCCTGTGTATGAGTGTGTATATGTGTATTGTGTGAGTGAGTATAAAAGTGTGTATGTGTGTACTGTATGAATGTGTGTGTAAGAGTATGTGTGATGTGTGAGTGTATGAATGTGTGAGTGTCAGTGTGTGTGTGTATGAGTGTGTATGTGTGAGAATATGTGACTGTGTGTGAGTGTGTATGAGTGTGTGTGAATGTGAGTATGTGTATGAGAATGTATGACTGTGACTGTGTGTGCTCATGTGAGTGTGTGTGCGTGTGTGAATGTGTGTATTGTGTGAGTGTGTCAGTGTGTGTGAGAGTGTGTGTGAGTGAGTGTGTGCATGTATGTTTGGGCGTGGGAGTGTACAAGTGTGTGTGTGTGTGAATGTGTGTATTAGGTGAGTGTGTCTGTGTGTGAGAGTGTGTGTGTGAGTGTATGAGTGTGTGCATGTGTGTTTGGGTGTGTGGGAGTATACGAGTGTGTGAATGTGAGCGTGTGCATATGTGAATGTGTGTCTGAGTGTATGTATTGTGTGTCAGTGTGTGCATTTGTGTGAGAGTGTGTAAGAGTGTGAGTGTGTCTGTGTGTAAGTATATGTGTGAGCGTGTGCCCAGGCTGCAGCTGTAGGCTGTGGGCTGGCAGAGCTGGAGTTGGGGGTGGGGAGAAGAGGCCTGGGCCTGGGCAGGGCCAGGATCTTAGATTTCCGGCAGCCCCTGAGGTGCCAGGGGAGTCCGTAGGCCCGGCTCTGGGTTCAGCTCCTCCAGACTCCCTGTGCAGCTCAGCTGCTAGGAACGTGGGGAAGCCGGGCAATGGACACTGAGGCAGGGACCAAAGACAGTGAATGGGGCAGCAGGCGCGTGGGATGGAGAAGGGGGTGATGAGCATGGGGGAAAGGCCCTTGTCTCTGCTCCCAGCTCTGCAAACACAGCTGGTGCCTACCGGCTTCCCCTTCAGCCCTCGTCTGGTTTCTAAACTGGGTGTCCCTAGTACTACAGGGGCCCGGCGTGTACATCTGCACTGGAGTGAAAGGAACGGGGAGCTGCAAGGGAATAATGGGGCCAGCGCAAATCTGGGGAGCACACGGAAGCGGGGAGGAGGAAAGGAGCAGGACAGAGGGAGGAACATGCCGAGACTGGACGCACAGTTACCTGTCCACCCCGCCAGGCAGCAGCAGTGACCGGTGATGGGGTCGCAGCCATCCGCATGGCTGCAGTCACAGTGCTCGCTGCAGCTTAGCCCAAAGGTGCCATCCTGCAGAGAGAAGGGGCAAGCAGTGGTCAGCCCAGTGCCCCAAGTGTCTGGGGGGTGTTGATGACAAACCCCAGTCACCGAGGCTGAGCTCTTGAGATGGGATGGGGAGAGGGAGGGTCTGTTTTGTAAGTGGGGATCAACAAGACCACAATGAAAATGACTCTTGGTTGCACTAACAGAATACAGTGTTTAGAAGAAGGGGGTGATAGTCCTGTCCTGTTCCTCAGTGGTCAAGTTTAGAGGCCTGGGATGGACATCAGCTAACACTGCAAGTGCTCGGGGTTAAGGCCCTTGCAGACTGATCCAGCAGAATGAGCCTGTGCAACTCCGCACCCACGGGCCCTCGTGTGCAACCGTGAGCCTGGTTTGGCTGAGTATCGTGGAACAGTCCCCCGGGCTCCTAAGCACTGCTTGGAGCCCCCCAAACTGTAAATACATGCTACAAATTGTACCTCATTGGTTCTACATGAGGAATGATGACAATTTACTCCTCATTACTAAGAAAGTGGCAAAGAGCCTGGACTGCGTGCTCATCTGTTACCCGGAGCCTTACACAGGACGAATTTCCTTCTCTTTATAGCAGTACTGGGGCCGGGCCAGGAAGTGCCAGGATCCACCTGAGGCCTCGCACAACATGTAGATCTCATTACTTCATCCTCACAACTGCTCTATGCCAGGGTTCCAATATACGCACAAGGGACACTTCTTTGGGGGTTGAGGGGCAATGCCAGGGATCCAACCCAGGGCCTCACACATGCAAGGCAAGTGCCTAACCACTGAGCCACACTCCTGGCCCCAGTACTCATCAAAGAGGAGACACAGGTATATGGTGTGTGTGTGTGTGTGTGTGTGTGTGTGTGTGTGTGTGTGTGTACACGCACACGCATGTGTGCTTGGGGAGCTGTGGAGTGGTAATATGCTCAAGGTCACAGAAGCCAGGGACCAGAGCCATACAGCAGGGAAATCACTTGCCTTGCAAGCAACCAATCCTGGGCTCCATCCCCAGCATCCCATGTGGTCTCCTGGGCCACACCAGGAATGACCCCTGAGTGCAGAGAACAGGAGGCCAGGGCACAGCGGTGATTTGAACCCTGGCCCCTCTAGTACTGTCACCAGCTGCGTCCTCGCATAGGTTATTGCAACAGCAGTTTTGCTGTGGGGGCGCTTGGTTGCTGCACCTAGGAACCCGGGGGTGCATCTGGGAGCGCATGTGCTTGGGTGTCCCCCATGGGTAGAAACGATGCTCTGTGTCACGGGGGGAGGCCGGGGACTGAGGGACCCCGCACGGCAGATCCCTCGCGTGTGCTCCAAGGGCAGGGCCGAGCGGGCGGGCAGGCAAGCGGGTGCAGGCCCAAGTAGTCACTCACCGGGCAGGGCTGCTCGCACGTGTCCCCCAGCCAGCCCGGGGCGCAGGCGCAGGAGCCGTCAACGGGACTGCAGGCTGCTCCGTTGGCGCACGCGCAACTCTGGTTGCAGCTCAGCCCCCACGAGCCACTGGGGCAGGGCACGGCGCAGTCGGGGCCATGCCAGCCTGTGGGGAGGGACACGGCTGCCACCGCTCCTCGGGGATGCACCGGGCGGGACGCGACAGTGGGACCAGCAGGCTGGGCCGGGGGTCCGTGCCCGCGTGCCTCATGCAGCTTGCTCGGGCGCAGATGGGGGGGGTCAGGCTGCACCCCTCTCCCCGGGGCTGCCCCCCATCTGCCCTCCCTGCGGGTCAGCTCTGTCACAGGCTGGACTCAGGGGCGCCCCTCCCTGTCGTGTCTGCTGGTGGCTGAGACCTCCAGCAACCACCGAGGTGTCTGTGCCAGTTCCTGCGGGGACCCCTGCTCCCTGAGGACTCTGTGGCTTCCTCTCTCCACCCTCTCAGCTGCTCCTGGGGCTCTCAGGCTGCTCTTGCAAGTCACTCGCCTGCCCTGTGCAACCCTGCCTCAGTGACCCCGGGTCCCCTGGACTGGCTCCCTGGCCTGATCCTGCCCCCTCCTCCTGGGGTTCCTACTCAGTGGGAGCGAGGCCACCCCAGGGACAGGCCCAGAGACAGGCGGAGGTTACCTTCCTTGCAGGTGCAGGAGCCGTCCACCGGGGAGCAGGTGCCGCCGTTTTCACAGCTGCAGATGGATGAGCAGTTGGGGCCGTAGGTGCCCACGGCACAGGACACGGCGCACACCTCGCCCTGGAGGAGCAGGAGCACCGTCAGCCCCCACCCCACTCCACCCCTCCTGGGAGTTTGTGAAGGTTTCCTTCCAGGGCAGAACACTTAGAGACGCAGTTAAGGGTCTAGAGATGCGACAATAGCTCATATTATCCAGGTGAGCCCAATCTAATCTCAAGAATCCTTACTTTAGGGCTGGAGTGATAGCATGGCTGATAGGGCGTTTGCCTTTCATGTGGCCGAGCCCGGGTTCGATTCCCAGCATCCTATGTGGTCCCCCGAGCACTGCCAGAAGTAATTCCTGAGAGCAGAGCCAGGAGTAACTCCTGTGCAATGCTGGGTGAGACCCAAAGAGCAAAATAAAACATAAGAAAAGAATACTTATTACTTGGGGAAGGGATGTCACCCAGATTTTTATACTCAGCACAAGGCTGGGGGTTGAACTTGTGGCATAGAATGTGCAAGGCTCCAGCCTTTCATGGCCCCCCTCACCTGAGTCCTTAAAAGATGACCAGAGGCTGGAGCAACAAGACAGCAGGTAGGTGCTTGCCTTATACAAGGCGTGACTTGGGTTTGATCTCCAACACCGTATAGGGTCTCCTGAGCCCTGCTAAGGGTGAGCCTGAACACTGAGCCAGGAGTAAGTCCTGAGCACCACCAGTGTGGGCCAAAAACCAAAACCCAAAACAAATAAAAAAGATGTCCAGAGAAGCCAGGACAGATGCTCCCGGAGTCCTCCACTGCTTTCTGTGTCTCTGAAGATGGAGCAAGGAAACCATGAACTGAGGTCAACAGCAGCTCCAGAAACTAGGGCGAAGGCCACAAGACCTGGGTCCTGCTACCCTTATCATGAATTCATGTGCAGGAATCAGCAGAAAAGAACCATATACAGACACCCTGCCTTTACTCTTTGGGCACACAAGTCAAACTTTCCACTAACAGTCGAGTTTCTTGACCTGCAGGTCACCACCACTTGTAGGATAACTGCATATGGGGCTGAAAAACTTTAGCTGATGGTAAAAGGGTTCTGACTCATTCTACTTCTGACAGAAATGAATTAAAAGACTTGGGGCTGGAGTGACAGTATAGCAGGTAGGGCATTTGCCTTGCACATGGCTGACCCGGGTTCCATCTCTGCCACCCATATGGTCCCCCAAGGCCACCAGGAGTGATCCCTGAGTACAGAGCCAGGAATAAGCCCTGAGCATTTCTAAGTGTAACTCCAAACCAAAACCAAAACAAACCAAGGGACCAGAGCAATAGTATAGTGGTTAGGGTGCTAGCCTTGTGTGTGGCCAACTTGGATTTGGTCCCTGACATCCCACATGGTCCCCCAAGCACCACCAGGAGTAATCCCGGAGCTCACTAGGTTGGTCAAAAAAAGAAAACACCATAAAAAGGCATGCTTTCAGCAAACACAACAATAAGGTATGCTTTCCAAAATCAGACATGCCATGCATCCATGCTGTTTCTGGCAGTGCCCACCCATGCAGCATTTCTTGGCTGAAAAGAGGTGGCTAGCAGGAAAAGTTTAAGAAGTTCTGCCATGCAGCCCTGTCAGAGGATAATCACAGGTTGTTCGAAGCCACCAAAAGTTGTGGTTGTTTGTAGAGTGGTAACTGAAATCAAAGACAGTGACCCTGGGCAGGGTGAGGCTCCAGGTTGGGCAATTGGGGAAGGTGGCCCTTGGGTCCGTAGTCGGCCCGAGTCCATGTCAGCACAGAGGTAAGCCCTGGCCTTTCAGTCTTAATTGGTTTTCACCAACAACCCTAGACCTTATTCCCATTCTCCTGAACGTCAGAGGCAATCAGGCCAAGAGCCCTAAAAACAAAGGCCCAGGGGTGCTCTGGCAGCCCCAGGGCCCTTGAATGCTCTTATCTTCAATCCTCATGGGGTTCCCAGGAAATGGGAACTGTTGCTCAGTACTCACCCTGCTTAATAGGAAAAGCAGGTGCCTGGCGAAGGGGGCTTGACTCAGGAGAGATAGAATAGGGGATAAGGCACTTGCCAGGTGTGCAAATGACCTGGGTCTGATCCCCAGGTCCCGCATATGGTCCCCCAAGTCCCGCCAGGGCTAAGCCCTGAGCAGAGCTGGGTTTGACCTAAAATAAAAAAAAAAAAAACGAAAAGGAAAAGAAAAGAAAAATGAGGTTGCAGAGAGCATGCAGTCCGAGGTGGCATGGGGGCTGCTGTCTGCACGAGGGGGAGCAGGTGACAGGAAGGCACAGGCAGGGGACGTGGGAGGGGTGAGGGTGTGGGAAAGACCGTGTAGAGGGAAAGCGAGGCGGGCTGTTTGCCCAGGAGCTGGAGAACTTGGCATGTTCCAGGTGTGTGCAGAATGCGGGAACTACTAGCAAGGGGTTGGGGGCACACATGCCAGAAGACTTGGGCTTTGGGGGCCGAGAGGTTGTGCAGTGGCTATGGCACTTGCCTTGCACACAGCTGACCTGGGTTTGATCCTGGCACCTTGTGATGGTCACCTGAGCCAATGAGTAGCTTCACTTCTCATTCTTACCCTCCTCCTCCACAGCCCTCCCAAATCCTGGAGTCCCTTGGCCAACACTGGTGATTCCCAGGGCGTGGGGAATTGGCATAAGCCTCCAACACGCAGATTGGAGTGTTCCAATTCTCCCAATTGTGCCTCTCCAATTTTGGGTACCATGGCAGGCCTTAGCTTTATGGTCTCGTGTTTGTGGAGTGGGATGGGGGTGGGGGGTGGGGAAGGATCATTCATTATTTCTGTTTATATGCTTTGATTGCCAGTGTACATATCTCTGAGACTCTGGCTTGTTTCTGGGGTATCTGTTGAATTATCTGGGTGGACTGGGGTAGACAATTGTGACCCTTTTGTCCCCCTGCCCCCACAGCCATGTCCTGGCAGGAACTGGGGACACACATAGGCAGCCAATGACCTAGCACCCGGAGCTGTGAGCTGGTTCGGACAGGGCTGTGACTTCAGTGCTCAAGCCTGGGACCCTGCTGAGGTTCAGGCCCCTGAATCAGGGACAGAAAGGAGATGTTTGTGTCCACGCTGGTGTCCGCGGGCAGGACAGTGGTACTGGAAACTTCCCATGTGCTTTCACTCCTGGCTGCCGAGTGAGGGCAGCTCCAAAATACTGTGGAGTGGATCTGGGGCGTAGTCTCTGCCCTTGACAGCCCTTCGCGATGTTCATACTGGCCACTCTGGCTGAGTCCATAAGGGCCTGTGTCCCTGGGCAGTCTGTCCCGCCAAGACGCTGTGGAGAGCGGGGAGCTTATCTGCTGGGCTGCCCCGGGCCCCAAGCTCTCAGCAGAAGTACTGTGGAAACAGCCAGCAAGCTGGTGGGCTGCCACAGCCTACAGAAAGCCAAATATCATTGGGACCACAGGCTACAGGGGTCCCCTTCACAGACTGGCAAAGCTGGGCCAGGTCTTGGGCTAGGGCGCTGCACATGGCTCCCTGTCACCCTCCCCCTGCCTCCAGATCTCGCCCAGGAAATATCCCTGCGGGTGAAGACGGCCACTCCAGGGACACACTATGAGCAAGACAGGCACTCACAGTGGGTCAGAGCGAGGAGGAGACTGAGGGTCAGAGTGGCCCCATCAGGGCCGCCGGGGTGGGGGAGCTGGCCACAGAGATCATGTCTTCTCCCATCCCCTGCCCCGCCACACCGGGCCTAGTCCCATCCAGCCTGGAAGTCACGATGTGGACGTCCACACTCAGAAGGACAGCAGAGAGTCAGGGCTGGGCTGTGAGTGCAGGTCGGGGCAAGTTGGCATCTGAAAGGGCACCTGAATTTCTTGCTTGTTTGTTTTGGTTTGGGGTGATGCTTGGGGCTGACTCCTGGCTCTGTGCTCGGGGCTCACTCCTGGTGGTGCTTAGAGGACCACCTGAGATGCAGGTATCGCACCAAGGTCAGCCATATGCAAAGCCAACTACTACCCTCCCCACTGAAGTACTGTTTTTCTGCTTGACTTGGCCGGCTCCTGGCCCAAGAGCATCTCAGAGACCTCTTCTCGGCTTCTTCCCTGGAGCTGCGTCCACAGCTCCTGTATGCCTCACTGCTTCCGAACAGACTGCAGTACAGGGACATTTGGTCCCTGATCAATCACAGGCCATTGCTGAAATCAATGTGTCTTCCCAAGTTCCAACCAGCGAGGACCCTGGTGAGCGTCTTTCCTCTGCAGATCCTTCCCAGCTCACACGATTCCCTGCTGCTGGATAGCTGCAATTTGGCCAGTGGCTGCTGGCCATGTGATTTTGGTGACAGCAACATGTCCACCAACCATGACCTAGAAATCCCTATCATGTCACTTACAGCCAATCAGAGGCCCCAGTCTGAGATCCAAACAGCCACAGCCAATCAGAGGTCCTGATCCAAGCAGCTACAGCCAATCCGAAGTCCCAGTCCAAGCAGTTGTAGCCAATCAGAGATCCCAATCCGAGCACGTTCTCAGATTTCATTTAATTCTAACTAAAAGCAGAAGGAAAACCTGGATGCTTTAGTTAGCATCCTTGCAGGTAACAGCAGAGTGCCCAGCGGTGTGGTCAAGAGTTGAAAACCGTTCCTGGCCGTTTTGCTGTAGCCTCCGTCAGTCTCCAGCTGCCAACCTCTGGCTAGGCTACAGCTAAGAGCATCTTCTGATTTCTTTATTGGTTTACCTCAGAGTTGGGGTAATCAATGAGGGTGCTCACGCTCTTCTGGCAATTTTGGCCCTGTCAGCACTTCAATGCTAGGGCCTGAGGATTCGGTGCTGCCCAGGCTCAGCAGTGCTAGTGCACCACCACAATCACCCCACCAGTGCCCCTGGGGCATGCAGAGCTACACATGGCAGCATTCAGGGACCACGTGGTACTGGGGTTTGAACCCAGGTCCCAGCGTCTGCAAAGCATGCTGGGCCATTATCCTGGGCCTGAGGCAAATCCAACAGATGCCATTACCCCCATCCTGGGCGAGGAAGGAGGCAGGTGGGAGGCCGTGTTTGCATCTCTTGATTCTTCTACTTGTCTTTTTTTTTTTTTTAAAACTCTTCTTGGGCTG